CCCAAACACGCACACGCACACCCAAACACGCACACGCACACCCAAACACGCACACGCACACCCAAACACGCACACGCACACCCAAACACGCACACGCACACCCAAACACGCACACGCACACCCAAACACGCACACGCACACCCAAACACGCACACGCACACGCACACCCAAACACGCACACGCACACCCAAACACGCACACGCACACCCAAACACGCACACGCACACCCAAACACGCACACGCACACCCAAACACGCACACGCACACCCAAACACGCACACGCACACCCAAACACGCACACCCAAACACGCACACGCACACCCAAACACGCACACCCAAACACGCACACGCACACGGACACGCACACGCACACGCACACGCACACACACGCACACGCACACAAATTGGAACCAATTCATGTTGCTTAACCAAGAAAAATTATTATACGAACTTGACACAAATGCATCTGAAGAGTACATTACTTTACTATTAAAATACTAGACATAAAACATACGTAGAAAAGACTGTAAAGAATATAAAAATTCTGTAGTTTAACTTATTTTTTATTCATGAAATAATTTTAACATATACTCTTCGTGCATCTAATTTAATCGTTAACCTGACATAATTTTTAAAATTTTACTTTGTACTAAATTATTTTAAATAATGTTTTCTCCTGCAGTTTAATCGTTTAAACTAGATGGCACTTAGGATACCCTTGAAAAATGTCTTTCTGTACTAAATTTTTTTAAATATTTTCTCGTGCATTTTCATCGTTTAAACTAGATGCACTTAGGATACCCTTGAAAAATGTCCTGCGCCTATGATATAATCTCCGTTGCAAAGTATCAACGTCTAAAAATGTCCATATATCGTAATAGTAATTCTATATGCGGCATACACATTCAGCCTCTGCGGCTGAAGGTGCCGGAATACAGAAATTCTGTATAGCGATACTATATGCGAATGTATGTTCAGCCTAAATCTCGGATACGCGTATCTCACATACAGTATCTTCGTGCGAAAGAGCTCTAAGTGAAGTAAATAAGCAAACTTATTTTTGCCTTAAATTATTTTTTAAGTCATAAGACAATTTTTAGGGGTCAGGTAATTTTTTCTAACGAAAAACTGTTCCAATCACATCATGATATGGCCATATTAGAATTTATAGACTACCTAGAAATAGGTTTAATGAAAATTATATTTTTTCAAATGAAAAGTCCGGACGATTTTCTATAAATGTTTGGACTTGGATGTATAGAGGAGGTATAGGAATGTGTTGTGGAATCAAAAGGAAAATAAAATGCAATAAACATTTTAGATAATGTGATGTTGCCATCGGTTACGAAAATGTTCCCAACACTAATATTATTTTCCAGCACGCGATTATTATACCGGTCAAGATATAGTGTAATTTTTTTGACAGTTAAAATCATTATTTGTTTTTGCCTGCTGACACTGATACATGTACAGAATTGGGTCCATAATAGTTAACACATTATGAATATTTTTCTTGGCCATTTCGTCAACGATATGTTCCTTAGCGACTATTTTTGTATTTAGAACTTCTATAAGAAAATTAAGAGAAAACGAACAAATTCCATTAATGAGCCGTTAAACTTTTCGAAAATTTTTATTCAGCCTAAAATTTCGTTTTGTCAAACAGTGTAGGAAATCAATTTTAATTGAGAGGTCAGATAAAGTGTCCTGGCGACGGCGTTATTTACGAAATATTAATGAGTTTAGAGCTGCTAAAAAAAAAAAAGATATACTATCTCGATGAAACGTGGCGGCAATAGCATAGAGCTCCCACCACTTTCTTCCTAGATCCAGCGGAAGAAATAGTACGGATAATTGCGTTGGCTCCAGTTTTATCAGAGCTTGCGACCCATGATACTATTACTCGAGAAGATAAACCTACGCGCATGCGATCAGCCCATCTCTCTCGCACGCCTGACGTCACTGGGAGACTACCCGACTCAGCAACAGCCAGTTCTATACGGCGCAAAGCAGTTTTGCGTGTATTTTAAAATCTGTTTATTAAATAGGGATATGAAAAATCCAAAGTGAGAAAGAGAGAAATGACAAAAATTGTAAAATAAATTAAAAGTGTAAATTTGTAAATATTTGTCCTATAAAAATTAGGTACTTAATAAATTGTTTATCATTTAAAAAACATTTACCGCCTTCCAAAATCCCAAAAAAATACTGCTGCAAATTGAATCAATACTTTCAAATTTCTGTTGCTGTTAAACTTTTAACGATTTATTACTTGTTTATCCAAACATTTTCAATTTTTACCCCTCCTTTTTTACATTCATCCGTAATTTTTATAAAAATATTAAATTGATTGTAAAATGAAAATGTCTATACTTTAAAAGCTCTAAAATAATATTTAACTTGAATTTTTTTTGTCGACGCATGCGCAATAGCTTCAAATACTCACACAGTTGGCATTCACCATCCTCATCTAACAAGTGGCGTTGCGCGCTAACTCTCTCTCATTTTATCTCAGATATCTCGCGTTTTTAACTGATGGCACTCCTAATTTGCGGCTATTTTTTCATAGGCAGCAATATGTCATCATGTTAGAAAAAAAATTAGCTTTAATTTGATATAAAAAACATCCGTGTAAGTCACGAACGTATAGATAGATCAAAATATTACCTGCTTACACCTGGCTGCGAGGTAGTTGCGGCCGAGTATGGAACGGCACTTAAGGATTTTAGAATTCTTTACATGCATTGTTATGATGTGGATGATATTTTATTTTAAAGAGAAGTAAACGAAATTTTTTTTGGAATATTAATTAACATTAATTTAATTAAAATTACTTGCGGCCACTTTTGACTGGCTGCGGTGTTATCAGTGTATTCTCCTATTCATAAAATCATGTAAAAATTTGTGTTTCACTCAAAACTTAATGAACGTAGTGATTTTGCAGCGGGATCTTAGACTAATATACATATATGCGAAATAATTTAACAAAACAAAGTACTTAAGAAAACATCAATAACATAACAAAATAAACTAACTATTTAAAGTAAATAAGGGTAATTAGGTAATTATGATATCAATCAGATAACAATAAGATAGTAACACTACCGGGATTATCTCACAGAAAACTAGGAAAGAGATTTAATAAGTGTGAGTTTTTAATATCTAATTGATCATTGAGTAGGTTATCTGAATTTTTAAATCTATTTATTTCAAGTGTTTCTAAATGGTTTAGTTTATTGCCCTTATTTTCTATATGTAAAATTTCAAAGTTGTCTGTAAAAGAATGATTTTCAGCTAAATTATGATTTGAGTAAGTAGAATTATTTTTGTTTTTTGTATAGCTATTATAATGTTCGGAATAGCGCTTTTTGAAAGTACGGCCTGTTTGACCAATATACAGTTTTGGACAACTACCACAATTTAATTTATATACCCCCGATTTATTATTAGGATTAATTTTACCCTTATTGTTTTTAATATACTTCCCAAACGTATTATTGGTTTTGAAAGCTACGTTAATATTTTGGTTTTTTAAATATGATGATACCTTTTCACTAGGAGCTCCTATATATGTAAGACTCTTATATCTGCAATTTTGATATCTAATTATGGGATAAACTTGTTGAATTGCATGTTTAAAAAGTTTTTTCTCTAAAATGTTGTCTACTAACTTTGAATTAAAATTATTGTTTACTGCGATTTGTTTAATGATATTTAATTCTTTTGTGTTCTCTTTGGTAAGGGGGATATTAACTAATCTATGGATCATACTGTTGTATGCTGCCAGCTTTTGTTTGTATGGATGAGATGAACTATTATTTATTGTATTATCAGTATGTGATGGCTTATAACCTACTCAATGATCAATTAGATATTAATAACTCACCCTTATTAAATCTCTTTCCTAGTTTTCTGTGAGATAATCCCTGTAATGTTACTATCTTATTGTTATCTGATTGATATCATAATTACCTAAGTACCCTTATTTACTTTAAATAGTTAGTTTATTTTGTTATGTTATTGATGTTTTCTTAAGTACTTTGTTTTGTTAAATTATTTCGCATATATATTGGATACCGAATTGTAAATTAGTCACATTTGAAAAAGAAGTTGTACTTCGAAACATGTCATGTGTAGTGTTTTTATTTTTTATTTTTTTAAAATAAAAGTTTTGTGAAAATCTACCAAATTTGATTTTACTCATTCAAGTTAACCTTGTTGTCATGGTCGCCACATATCGTATTATTCAAAAACCTTTTAACTTGAACCTTACAGAATACAAATAATATACTTCTGATTGAAATTAATATACAATTTCACAATTCAGAAAAACTCAAAAAAAGGGTACAGGCTTATTGATATATCAAGTATCAAGTCTGGTTATTAACGTGGGCTAGTTTATTTAATTTTAATATAGTGAGCGTATTTTATAAAATAGTCACCTCAAAAGTGTGTTAAAAATATGCCTATTTAGAAAAAAGTTTTTAAAGTTTTTGTTTAGTGGTATAAATAAATACGTACCTACTTTTTCTGCGAATTACAGATCATAGATATAACGAATGAGAATTTTCCTTTGAAAAATATAAATTATTACTAGGCATTTTTTAATTTGTACTGAAAATTAGATATTATCTATATTGCGGACCTAAATAATTTTTTTCCAGTGTTGAAAGTAATATTTGATCATGGGCCTCTAAAAGTCTAGATATAAATCCAATCGAGAACGTTTGGTAAAAACATTTAACTGTTACTCCCCAAAACAGAGAACATTTATGGAAACTTATATTGGGAAAGATGCAAATTTAACAATAAATTCAATTAACTCAGTGCCTAGACGATTATAAGAAATTATAATTTGATAATAAAGATTTTAAAAGTAATAGCCGTTGTTTACAAAACCGGTCGGTGTTACAAAAGTTTGTTTAAATCACAGACCACACCTTTTATATGATAAGATAGAAAATGTATGTTCCGTAAATTTTATATTTTTGACTACTTACGATGAATATTGCATCTTTCTCTTGATTGATGAAGTATCTGGTGCCCAACAGATTCCCAGAAAACGTTGCTTGTTAGAACCGTTAGATTCATATTCAAAATCGTAGATGAAGTAACGAGGTTCGGAATTTGTAAGTTGGTTAATAAAATCCACAAGACTTTCGGATTTGTCACCTTTTTTTTCAACCTTTAAGGCGGTTGCAGAGTCGTTGACAGTAAAAGTGACGTATCGATAATTGTGATTGTTTACAATATCTTTAATTGCATCACTCACTTCGTCTCCCTAAAAATGTAAAATCAAGGGTAATAACGAGCCATGAAGAATATCATAATTAGAGTTGGCTGTGAAATTTAAATGTTTTGGATATACGAATCACTGTCAATGTCATACCATGATATTAAAGATAATATTAGAGATATATTGCAAATTTCTATAAATTCAGCCACTAATAGTGACTATTTAATTAGAGGCAAATAAATTCCATGCAAACCTAAAGTTTTGCCAGTCATAGTCTTTATAATTATTTCTAACCTCATTTTAAAAATTTTGAATGTTTTAATATGAAATCAAAACACTAGTTCTCTTTTTGTGAAAAAATAATGGATAATTTCATTTTTATTAATACTTGTATGAAAACATATAAAGATTTAAAATAAGTTATGCAAACTATATGGATTAAGCTTAGGCATCTTGCAAAGACTTTATTTTTTTCACACGACATTAATAAAAATCCAAATTACAGAAGTTTAGTTAAAATAACTTACCAGTGCATATGCTACAGAACAGAGCAAGATTATAAGATTGGTCTTCATTTTTATTCAATTAAAAATAATCTACTAAATTAAGTTTAAAATGTTCTTTTAAATACCTACCGAAATGAGATAAATGTATCTCACGAATTAATTAATATGATAACCTAAAAGTATTTGCACAAACATTTTAATGGCCAGCAATAAGAAAAACTATCAGGTATCTATCTAATTAAATTTTTAAAAACAACTATTATCAGTTGGTGTCCAAATACGACAGCTGGGAAGAATCCTCAAAAAACTAATTCGAATCACGAATCCGAATCATCACGAATCCGAATCACGAGATGTGATTCGAATCACGGATCCTTGGTCCGAATCTTTTTTTCGGATCACGAATACGAACCACTGTCAGTGTCATACCATGGTATTATGTATGATTTTAAATGTAATATCAATATGTATCTATTACGGACTATGACTTGGATATAAATGGTTGATATAAGATGTTTCTCTAAATATGAAGCATAAATAAATTATAATCTACAAAAAATATATGTTATTTTAATACAAAAAACAAAATAATAAACAAACAATGAAATAAAAATGTCTTTGAGAAGATGTTGAAAAAATAAACTTATTTTTTTCTATAAATATGAACCATAAATAAATTAGAATCTACAAAAAATATATTTTATTTTAATACAAAAAACAAAACAATAAATAAACAAACAAACAAACAAACAAACAAACAAACAAACAAACAAACAAACAAACAAACAAACAAACAAACAAACAAACAAACAAACAAACAAACAAACAAACAAACAAACAAACAAACAAACAAACAAACAAACAAACAAACAAACAAACAAACAAACAAACAAACAAACAAACAAACAAACAAACAAACAAACAAACAAACAAACAAACAAACAAACAAACAAACAAACAAACAAACAAACAAACAAACAAACAAACAAACAAACAAACAAACAAACAAACAAACAAACAAACAAACAAACAAACAAACAAACAAACAAACAAACAAACAAACAAACAAACAAACAAACAAACAAACAAACAAACAAACAAACAAACAAACAAACAAACAAACAAACAAACAAACAAACAAACAAACAAACAAACAAACAAACAAACAAACAAACAAACAAACAAACAAACAAACAAACAAACAAACAAACAAACAAACAAACAAACAAACAAACAAACAAACAAACAAACAAACAAACAAACAAACAAACAAACAAACAAACAAACAAACAAACAAACAAACAAACAAACAAACAAACAAACAAACAAACAAACAAACAAACAAACAAACAAACAAACAAACAAACAAACAAACAAACAAACAAACAAACAAACAAACAAACAAACAAACAAACAAACAAACAAACAAACAAACAAACAAACAAACAAACAAACAAACAAACAAACAAACAAACAAACAAACAAACAAACAAACAAACAAACAAACAAACAAACAAACAAACAAACAAACAAACAAACAAACAAACAAACAAACAAACAAACAAACAAACAAACAAACAAACAAACAAACAAACAAACAAACAAACAAACAAACAAACAAACAAACAAACAAACAAACAAACAAACAAACAAACAAACAAACAAACAAACAAACAAACAAACAAACAAACAAACAAACAAACAAACAAACAAACAAACAAACAAACAAACAAACAAACAAACAAACAAACAAACAAACAAACAAACAAACAAACAAACAAACAAACAAACAAACAAACAAACAAACAAACAAACAAACAAACAAACAAACAAACAAACAAACAAACAAACAAACAAACAAACAAACAAACAAACAAACAAACAAACAATGAAATAAAAATGTCTTTTGGTTAGTCCTACATAGCACCAAAATTTCGAGGTGCGTCGATTATACCTGCAAACAAAAATAATCGTTAGACTGCACCAGACGAATGTTAAATTTAAGGATTTTTTATGTTGGATATTCATTGCTAATTTGTAATGTCAAAGAAGGCAGCAGAGCACCTAGGCAATTTTGAGTTGAAACCTGTCATATTTTAAGGCTGTTTTAAAGCTATTTTTATGTTACTCGTTTTTTGCAAAAATCAAGGTGATCTGTTAGCTTCGAACGAAGTCAGCAGAGCACCTCAGTTTTTTAATTTTTTTCAAATATTTTTAAATTAAAATACTACTTTTCTAAATATTTTCTAACAATCTCAATGCTACAAACTATTGACTTCGTATGTTTATGACATTATATGTAATTAGGTGGTATTTGAAATAAGGGCACGATTTATAATCTACAATAACATAATGAAACAACCGATCTTTTTTGTCCAAAATCTCGATAGAAATAATACATTATATTATTACATAGGTATTATACTTTTTTTTCTACTTATCGATGATTTTGTAAAGGAATTTGAATTCCATCTTCAGCTTTGGATCGCATAAAAGATGCGACATTTTTTATAATTTGCCGACCTTGACTGTGTATAATTTTTCCTTTTAAACCAACAAGCTTTTTAGGAGGCATGGTTTTAGATTAAATAATACACACAACACTCACTTACAAACGTCTTAAAATAATCGAAAATCAAAAATATTTAACAAATGGGCGATTCCAAAAAAATAACCTTAAATGTCAAACGCTAACGTCGCACACTGGGGCAACAAGCCTTCAAAGTTGGCAATAAATCACAGACTCTCTTTATGAATTTGTAAGTTAAATATTGCTTTGTAGAGGTGTTAGTATTACAAATGAAAATACATAGAGGGCCCTTAAAGTGTTTGTTTGCTAAAAAAAAATGGAAAGTTATTAGTGCCGGGGGGGTAATCCACCCTCCACACGTTAAAGATACAGATAATAAAAATGTAATATTATAATAATTTCATTAGAAAAGCTATGATAATAGTAATCAAATTTCATCCTCTTTAGAATGTGATAAGACATTTTCTTCATCGCCTCCACGGTCATCATCAATGTCATGAATATACCATGGCTATGAAGCTGGACGAGTCTAGATTTAAACAAATCTACTGCTTCTTTAGGAATGTGCTGCAGGTTCTTTCTTTTTTAATTTTCGTTTGCTCGTGATTACAAGGTCGAACTAAGTTAAAACGAATTAAAGACGTCCTCATTAGTTTTCTCTGTTAATTGGCCTATAGGCAACAAAGCAGAAGATATTATTTCAGGCCCATGTATAAAGTATCTGTGCAATGTCGGAGGCATATTTACCGTGGGTACTTTTCAAAAAAGTATCTAGCGGTGTTGTGAGCAAATTCTAATAATTTCATTATTTCCAGAACTTCTCATGATATTAAGAAGTTTCTTTCTCGATAAAAACATAGTGTTCAACCTCGTTCCTGAAATAAAATAAAAAATAAATTAAATTGTTATGTGCGAAACACTGTTATGTTTTATTTATACCGGGTGGGCTATAAAAAACTGTATTTTGTTTTTATTTTTATTTTTTAAATTATAAACCGATTTTACTATTCTTAGGCTCATGTTATAGATAACTAACTATGCTCCCAGATCTACCAAAAATAAACTAGCTCTAAATCGACTCATATTTCAATTAGATTCGCCATCCTAAAATTTAAAATTTCCGCCATTTTAATTTAATAGTCGGAAAGTATATTTACATACCTACCAAATCAGACCCATTGAGTCCAAATCGGTCAAAAACTAAAATAGCAGCGTTGAAAAGCATAATGATGTGTTATTATAAGCTTTTATGAAAACATAAAACCAGACAACTTTGATTGTCTATATCTTACGATTGAATGGACCAATCGTGCTCGGAGAGGTCTTAAAATAAAGAAAATAGGTTAGATATTTAACTGTTGTTATTATATTTTATATTTAATTTATAATTATTACGCAAAACGAGCTTAAAATGGGTTACTTTTAGGCTCGTTTTTTCTTCAATTAGGTCGGCCATCTTAAATTTTACATTTCTGGCATTTTGTTATGTCTGTCTGGAAGCATATTTAGTTGCCTATAAAATGAGCCTAAGGACAATAAAATCGATTTATTAATAAACGAAATATATTAAAAAAGACAGAATTCGTTTTTGATGATCGTCCCGCCATATATTTATATACTTTGAAAAAACCCAAATAGTGAAGAAAAGTGCAAATAAGTGCACAGAAACTAAACGATTTCAAAAAGTACAAACAATATTCATTATGAAAAGTCGAAATTTAAAGCTTGGACTGCTTTGGAACAGAACAACGTTTAACCTTAATTTTACTTAACCCCAATATTATAAGATTACGTTTATTTTTCTACAACTTTTTACTTATTAAAATAATAATACATAGCTGAACTTAAAGGCTCGATGGCGAAAAGGGTGGTGATGAAACGCGTGAGGCAGAATATTCGTTTTATTATGTAGTGGACAGTAATATATCAGAAAAAAATACTAGGTATAGTGTATATGCTATTTAATGTTTTTATATATTGCCAAATTTGAGGGCTTCTTGCCCCAGTGTGCGTCGCTAACAAATAAATAAATGGCTATTGGCATAAAAATATTCATTGCCGTGACCCTGTTTTTACTAAGCGACGCATGTGGGCCAGATTCGCCTCAAAATATTGAAAAAATACTGATTGGTTATTTAGAGGGAAAAAATAATAATAACGAGTTAATTTAGAAAACACAATTTTATATTTATATACAGGGTGAGTTAAAAAATATAGTCTCTTTTTGAAAGTGGCCATATTTTCGAGTTGTGAATCCATTTCTCCTCCTATTTTGTTTTATCTTGAAACTTACTACAAAAAATAACCTAAAATATTGCACATATCAAAAATCCCAAATGAGGCAGAATTATTTTTTTTTATATTAATGCAATAAGCAAATCTGTCACATTGGCATTACTAAAGAAATTAACTAGGCAAAATGTGACTATTTTTATTTATTTATTTAAAGTTTTTTTTTTCTTCTGGGCTCATCTGACTATGTGTCTCCGAATAACACTGAAGCCTATTGGCTTATTGTGTTTTACCCCATGTTAGTTCATAGCACCCACTCTGTCACCTTTGTACCTTGTACAAGTTTG